GTGAGGGGTCTGCAAGCGTTTCCGCACAATTCTCGCTGTTACTGGCGTAAAGTTCAGTGTTGTACGTACGTCCACTGCGGAGTTACAACTAACTGGGCGCCGCTTTGGATTACGGTAGCGTGGCGGTAATACTGAAGTTAGCTTCTTGTCCCGTTCCCCAAATATGATGGGTCTTGCGTGCGACACCGTGCACGTATTTTGCTTCTGCTGACGACCTCAAACTGTTTCACCCTATAGTCTGACTCGGACAAAGTTCTGTTGCAAGAGGCTATCAATGAGGTCAGCATGTGGGCCAAGCAGTGAGGTTCACCCCAGCTGTGTGGCAAGAGGGAGCCAATCGTTAGGCGGTGGCCGGTTTGCCATCGGGGCTCACGGTCTACGGACAACTTGAATTTAATCCCTTTGAATGCGTCGAACATCTCTTTTTCTCTGCACCCTCTCGTCCTTGTTGCATTCTGTGCTCATTGTGACCTCACATATTCCAGTTTTTCACACATGGTAAGTGGCTCACCCACCCTGGAGTCCCCTCCCCTTGAAAAATCCGCGGCTCGCCATACGTTTTTGGCACGTTTCGATGCTTTGGCAGCCGCTGCCCTCTATCCGTCTGCGTCACAGGGTTTCGTAACAGGACCGCCACCAAAAGTTCAAGATGTCACGTAACCCTGGCCGTGGTTGCCACCCGCCACTCCGCCGATGCGACGCGTTTCGTGGACGGACAACTCGTCCGTCTCAGCTCTGCCTTGTGATTTGATTGATCGATCACTAGGGGACGCCTTCACAGACGCCCAATTGCAGAAGAGCGGCCTGCTCGAACACTGTTGTGCTATTATTCAGCTGTGTTTCGTCCTGTTGCACACGTTTTGGGTTTCTTCTGTATTTTTTACTGCTTGGATATACTGCTTCGCTACTTGGAGGTGGGAATATCACAATCTTTCTGGAGTTGTGATATATCCCACTTCATAGCAGCTTACAGTAAATTATCAGACGTTCATGGTGTGGTAAGGTATTATCTTATTAAATATCTCTTCGGTGAAGAGTCGATTTATTATAACCATTTATTATCATGTATATATTATATAGTTTTACCCGATACATATCGTGCCATATATTCTAATAATCTTCAACCACGGCTAGTCACTCCTCGCGAGCGGTAAATGTCCCCAAACCTACATAAGGTAAGAATTATCTTGTAGAACAGCATGCAGTGATCTTACCTTTTCATGCTCCTCTCAATATTTTCCCTGCGCTCGCGGTCTCGTTTCCTGAGATGCTTTTCTTCATTGGGGTGCTGAAAAATTTTTTTTTGCTGGATTGGTGGCTTGCTCTCTTCGAGGGACACCTACCTCTCATCCACCGCAGGGTACACTTAGCTTCAAAATCTATATACTTCAGCTTCTCTATCAGCGTGAGACTCGGATGGTCTTTTCCGAATGTGACGTTCAAGCGATTGAAGGAAAGAGTGATTACCTATACCTACCGATTGTCAAAGAATACTACGATTATGTTCAGTGCTCACTTGTGGAACGCTTCGGCGGTGTTTGTAGTCCGAATGTCTACTATTTCCCATTTGTTCCACATATCTTTATAGGGACCGTCGAACCACGTCGTATGCAAGTATTCCAGGAATTCCTTGCATTCCGCGTAAGCGACGTGGTCCGCCGCTACTGGTGGGTTCCACAGCGCTCGAACCTGTAAAATTGTGTTTTGTTGGAACAGAAATACTTCGCTGGGAAACCGTACCTCTGGGTAGAGTCGCCTGGGGAGGAAAACCACTCCTTTCATTGTGTCCCACCACTCGGTAAACGTGAACCATAGCAAGCAAACAAGTTCGAAAAACCATCCGCAGAAGACAGGTTCATCCTTGTTCCCCTTTCAGGGCTTCAATGAAATGATGAAGCAGACCTTCAGAATGGAGGTTCATAACAACGAGCTGAATGCGAACTGAGAAGAAAAAAGTGTTACGATCCTATAACTGTCGTAAAACTATGCTCTTCCAGCAAGCAAACAGCATAGAAATCTGGCGAATATCAGACTTAACTATGTATTGCAAAAAATCAGACGGTATGGTGGAGAGTACATTACAGCAGAAAATAGTCGAATAGTACATAAAGTAGCTCGAATATATAAATATGCAGTGCGAAAACAGGAATATGCAGCAACAGGAATAAGAATACGCAGGAACTCAACGAAGGGACGAAAAAGCAGCTCGAACGAGGACGAAAATGGTTAGTGCTGTTAGCGCGACGTAGCGCTACGTCGCGCTACGGTGTGTACCGAACTCCAGCTTCCTTTTATGTTTTTTCTTTCTGAATTCAACCCTTTTCTCTTTTGTTTCTCATATTTATCTGATAGTGAGCTCCTGTTTTCTACTTTATCACATTTTAATGTAGTTTTTGATACAGAAGACTGTGATAATTGGTTTATCGTTTTCGACTTTAATTATTTGGTTTCAGAGTTGCTATTGATGTTTGATTTCTTTGCTCGATGTCTTGCAGTGGTGCCTCGTGTTGATCCCGATTGCGAAATTGTTTTCATTCCATACGAGGAGGATCGCAGTTCTCTCCCTTCATTTGTTCTCCTTGTCTGTTTTAGCCCATACGAAAGCTTTAGAAACTTCCCATCGGTTTTTTTTCTAGTTCGTCGAGGTGATCCTTTTTCGTAACTCTTTTTGTTTCTCTCTCTCTCAGCTCCTGTCAGTTTGAGCGGTATTGTGTTCGCTTTGTATCATTATTTTAACTGATTTTAGTTTATTTCAACTGGTTTTAGGATCCTTGTCTCCGACGTGTTTCCGCTCTTCGTCTTGAGGAAACTTGCTGTGAGGTAGGTATATAATTATTCTCGCAGGTGTTATGTTAACTGTGACCTCATGCTGGGTATAGTTGGACAGACCATTATACACCGGAAGGTATCGACCGGCGGACATTAAGTGACCCAGCATAGGTTATACCGGAGGCTACTGACCGGCGGGCATTAAGTGACCCAGCATAGGTTATTCCGGAGGCTACTGAGCGGTGGACATTAGGTTGACCGTAAAGATATACCGATGGTTCTACCTTGGCTCCGCCTCCTTCCGCAACGAGCCTTAAAATACCGTGACCAGCCTCAAAATACCGTGACGACGAAGAAGACATTAATATCGAGGATGACGAATACGGCAATACATGCGACATGGCACGACATGGCA